TTTTCACTGACCCTCCACATTTCCAAGCATGACGTCCTTCTCCAAGTACTGGTCCCTCCTAATAATATGCCCAAAGAATGAGAACAAATCTCATCATCCTGTCTATTCTTCTCCTAAGACAAATTTGTTCTTCAGGAAATCCATGGTACTTTTAATATTCTTCACCAACACCATAATTCAAATGCATCAATTCTTCTACAGTATTCTTTATTCATTGTCCAACTTTTGCATACATGTGAAGCAATTGAAAATACCATGGCTTGGGTCCAGTGTACATTAGTCCTCAAACTGGTACCTTTGCTCTTTAACACTTTCAAGAGGTCTTTTGTAGTAGATTGCCAAATGTAATATGTACAATTGTTTTACTTCTTGTCTGCTACTTCCATGAGCATTGATTATGGACCCAAGCAAATTGAAGTCTTTGACAACTTCTATCTTTTCTCCATTTACCATAATGTTACAACATCACAAAACCTTTTTTTAAAATATAAAAATGTCAAAATGTGAAGAAGCTATTGTTTTTCAATATATCCTCCATCTAAGTCTATACACTTCTCAAGACAGCATTTCCATCTCTTTAGCCCTTTGATGAAGAATTCTGCACTCTTCAATTTATACCAAGTCAAATGGCATTTTGGGCCTCCTTGAGAGACTGAAATAGTGTCTTTTCAGTGTTTTTTGTTTGAGAAACAAAAAGGTGTCTGGAGGGGCAGGGGCAGTGATTTTGGTGGATGAGGTAAGGCTTCCCAACGAAATTCTCATAGGACAACCTTACTACCCTCAAAAAATGAGCAGGTACATTGTCATAACGGGGGGGGGGAAATTTCCTAGGTGTAAATTTCCTGGCCTTTTTCTCACCAATGAAGTTTACCCTTTTCTAAAAACTTCTTTCTAATAAGTCCTTGTGATTGTCTTGTGCCCTTTGAGAAAATCTATCAAGACACCCAGGTGAAGTCCCAAAAAAAGGTCACCATAATCTTCTGAACTGGCCTAGCAGATCCTCTCAAGCTATTATTATGATTGAACTTTTATTATTAAAATTATTAAGGCACCTTAATATGGCACTGTGGCTCAGCACTGGACTGCAAACAAGAACGGCAGCTCAAACTCATGAGATGTTCCTCAGAAACCCTATACAGGGTCACTATGAGTGGGAGCCAACTCTACAGCACTTAGCAACAACAATGAGACAAAGGGCCCTGGTGTGACGCTGTAGGATAAGCACTGGACTGCTAACCACAAGGTTGGCAATTCAAACCCAAGAGTCGCTTTTGCAAACCCTATACAGGGTGGCTATGAGTCAGAACCCACTCTATGGCACACAGCAACAACAATGAGACTATGACTGAGTGTGTTACTACTGAGAAAGCTTGTCTGCAGCCATCCACTGATCTCAGAGATATGTTTAAACACATTTTGTTCAGAATAAATTTGTGTATATATGAACTGGAACCCTAGTAACGATATTTTGCTACTTACTTGCATGTGTGATACACACACACACATTTTTTGAAAAATTTCCCCCCAAAATCAGACTAATTTTGATAGCTTCTTAATATGAATCATTTCTTTAAATATTTCACACTTATTTTATACTCTGACTCTGACACCACTGTCCATAGTTCTCAAAGTCTAGATTTATGGCTTGTTAATTTTACTATTTACTATTTACTCTCACTCATAATACCTTGTTTCTTTGTTGGTTTTGTATTTTTACCAAACTCCACCTAAAGGAACCTTAATGGTTTAAACTGTGTATCTTCCTGTATAGATTTGTGTTTGTTTCTGAGAATAGCCAGGATAATCGATGGCACTGTGGGTTAATGCACTGAACAGCAAGTCGGTTTGAACTGCAAGGTCAGCAGTTCAAGCTCCTTGGAAACTTTATACAGGGTAGCTATGGGTCAGAATCGACGCGACAGCACTTAACAACAACAACAACAACAACAACAACAGTACCACTTCAGAGTCCTTTGAGGGTAATCGTTTAATATGTTGTTGTTAAGTGCTTTCAAGTCAGTTCCAAGTCTTAGCGACCTTGTATAGGTTTCCGATGTTGTTAAGTGCCTTACTCCGAGGCTGTAGGAATTTCTTTTTCAGTGTCCTCAATCTGTAGGAGCCCATGACTTATTGGTGGGTTCCAGAATCCTCTGTTAATTACTAACAATTTTTCATAGCACACACCCTCTTTTAGAACTTTCTATAGCTTACCGCCCTGTCTCTGGTTACAGCTTTCCTTTCCTCTCTGATGTCAAATCACTTTTCTCTTTGTTTTCTCCTTTCTTCGTTTGATCCTAGAAGCTTTTCCTTATTTCTTATGAGCTTTAAAAAGTAGTATTCAGGATTTAATTGTACAGCAACACAAAGGTCCACCAATATATATCTATTTTGCTTTAGATTTTATAGTCAAAATAAAACTCTAGCCTAGTTTATATTTGAGTAGGGATTGCTGTTGTTGTTGTCAAGTGCCATCAAGTTGGTACCAACCCGTAGCATCCCTGTATAGGGTTTTTGAGGAGCAGCTGGTGAGCTTGAACCTCTGACCATGTTGTTCAAATGGCTTTGCAGTCCAGCGCATTAAACCACAGCGCTATATCAGGTATCCTGGTAGGGATACTGCTCCAAAATTTAGTGAAATTTCTTTTAGTACTATGACTTACATCTAATTGATATTTGATGCTAAGTAATCTGAATACTTGAATTAATAATATACTTACATTCACTGTTGTTTTTGTTGTTGTTAAGTGTTATTAAGTCAGTTTCAACTCATAGCAGGACTGTATAGAATTTCTGTGTATCAGCTGGTGGGTTTGAACCACCAATTTTGCAGTTAGCAGTCCAGTACTTATTAATATAGAAAAATAGAAAAGTCTGTTCTATATTGAATTCAATTATTTCTCTATATCCTCTTATTAAGTTTTAAACATAAAAGTCAGTTCTTTCTTTTAAAACTGATAATTTTATATGCCTAAAATAATATTTGAATTTATATAGATTTTTTTTTTAGCTTCTCTTACTTCTTGTATTTGCCTTATTAGTTTGTCTACCTTTTTAAGATTTAAAAGCTTCATAAGATTTAAGAGATTTTCCTCTAGAAAAATACAACACAACATAAACACATTACTTAGCATATCCACATACTTTTACTGGGCACCTGCATCCCAAACATTTATCTAGGAATTCCAAAGAACCTTTCACAGACACAAGAATAAGAACCACTGATTTAGCATTTGAGTTACAAAACCAACATAGACAAACTGAATCATACATACTTTACTTTCTCAGCTTCTTCAGACTCCACAGAGACCATGACTGTCGGCAGGTCAAACAATCTCAGTGTTTCTGTTTCTGTGAGTATTATCTCTATGGTTTTTTCCAAGTCTTCTTTTGTTACAACTTTTTCAGCTGTTGTCCTCACAACTCGTAATTCTAAAAGACATGACTTAATAAAAATCACTTACTATTATTTTCAATGTATCTTTTTCCTCATAGTAACTGAAATGCTATGATGGATCATATTTTGCAGATGACTTTAGACAGTTAAGATGAAAGTGGGAATATATAAGACCAGGGAAGTCTTTGGTGAAATTGTTTACTTTTCTGATAAATGAAGAGGATGTGACTGGTTCTCCTCTCCCTTTATTCTGCCTGTATTCAACTTTTAATGTGGATATAAGGACTCTTATATAGATATATTTAAAATATATATATCCTTCTCCCCTGATAATTCTCATAAGCACTGGACTGCTAGCCTCAAGGGTGTCAGTTCAACCAGCTGCTCCTCAGAAACTCTATATAGAGTTGCATAAGTTGGAACCAACATATGCCATTTAACTATAACAACAATGTGGATATAATGTCCAGAGCTGGGAAAAATATTTTGAGATCATGATGCAAGAAACAAGAAGTAAAAGTATAAGAAACAAGAATAGCATAAATACCAATCTAGAGTCTGACTTAATTGAATGCAAAAAATTCAAAGCTAAAATCTGCCTGTTAATTTTAAATCTGAGAAAAACAACCTTTATTTGCTTAAGTTACTGTTGGTTGGATATTGCATTACTTATCAAAAGCATTCCTATCATTTACATCTCATAGCACCAAAAAGAAGAGTCCAACAAATATCAACTTTCCAACCTTATCCATACGTTCACCTTTATCATCTCAAATGAAAGGTATTCTTAGTGTGTTGTTGTTGTTGTTGAGTGCCATCGAGTCGGGTCCGACCCATAGCGACCCTGTACAGGGTTTCCGAGGGTGTAAATCTTTACGGGAGTAGAAAGCCTCATCTTTCTCCCGCGGAGTGGCTGGTAGTTTCGAACCGCTGACCTTAAGGTTCGCAGCCCGATTCGTAACCACTACGCTACCAGAGCTCCTTTTGTACTCTGAGCCAAATGACCCTCAAAAAACTACCCACTTCTTCCAAAACTTTATATATATATTTTTAACTGTGATAAGTATGTAAATAATAAAACATTTGACAACAAATAATGGTGATGGTTATACAACAGGATGAATGTTACTGAAACATACATGTAAAAAATGTTGAAATTTCCAGCATTCATTATTTCCTTGTTCTTATATTTTCACTTTCATAATCATTTGCATTATCTTATGCTTTACCCTCTTCATGGTTTAGGCTTCCCCTACTTCTTTTAACAGATACCTTTTCATCTTTTAACACCTAATTCAAATGTCAATCATATTCTCTGTGAGGTCTTTTTTTAGTTCAGAGGAATAAATTACTCCTTTCTAAATATTCCCATATATCCTACATAAGTCTTTTTCTGACATTGATCACACTGCAAGGAGGGTTATTTACCTCCATAATTACATGTTAGAGTATGTCACTATAGGATAAGCATTCAACCTCGAGGTTGGTTTGAACCATAAGTTCGGGAGTTCAAACTCACCAGCTGCTCCTCAGAAACCCTATACAGGCTTGCTATGAGTTAGAACTGACTTGATGGCACTTAACAACAACAACAGTTATAAACTAGGCGTTCTAGTGTGGCACTGTAGGATAAGCTCTGAACTGCTAATCACAAGCATACCAGCTGTTCTTCCGAAACGCTATACAGGGTTGCTATGAGTTCGAACTGACTAGGCACTTAAAAACAACAATTATAAGTTGAACTCTTTTAAAACAGGGCCAGTGGCTCCTGAGGCTGGTTATGCAAATGAAAAGAATCAAGTTGAGAACTTAAAAAATATATATATCCTCTCCCCTGATAATTCTCATGTACATCAGTATTTCTAAATCATTACCATATTCTTTTGTAATCAATACTTGATGTACAATAAGTGTATTTGGTAAGTCATAATAGAATGCTCCTGAAATAAATGAGTGTTTTTTATTACCTGTATAACTAACCAGTCTTTCTCGTTTATAGGATGGTTCTTCTAAATCTTCTGCTATTGATTCAATTGTTGATATACTTGACTTAGAAATACTACTGCTTCCCAAAACTGACCTTTAATAACAAATAACATTGCTTATTTATTTAGATGTCCTTATATGCAATTAAAACAATAAATTAAAACACAATCATGTGAAGAAATCAAATATACTATAATAATATAAGAATAAAGTATATCATATCAGAAAATACACTATTACTATAGCTGATTATATACTATTTAACAGAATAAATAAAAAGTTCTTCTAAAATCCTAGTATGGCACTGTAGGATAAGCACTGGACTGCTAACCAAAAGGTTGGCAGTTCAAACCTACCAGCTACTTCTTAGAAACCCTATAAAGGATTACTATGAGTCAGAACCAGCTCGGCAACACAACAAACACTGAGTTAGTTTTTAATGCTCTTTTTTCAAAAATCATGATTTGGTTGATAGTTTATAGAGGAAATTGGTTTTCCATTCAATAATTCATACACATTTTATTTTGAGACATTGATTAAAATCTCCGCAGTATAAATAGTACTCTTCCCACTTCCTCCATGTGTTTACCAGTTCTCTCCATCCTTCTTTCGTTTGTCTGCCTGCCTCTGAGCTTTATCTCTGTGCAGATGCTATCCTTTTCATGTTGTATGGTTGATTGTTCTGAGTGCAAACTCCCAGGTGTTTACCATTCATTTTAGTTGCCTCTATCTATTGTTTGACTGAGAGTTGAGGGTGAGTTTAGTTCCAGGCTTGAATTGCATCTAAAGGCCATTGTGTAGGAGCTAGACCAGTTTCCATCAGACCAGAAGCCTGGGTTTTTTTTAAAGCATTATTATTTTGAGTTTTGTTTCACATTTTTCTCCTGCTCTATCCAGGATCTCCTATTGTGATCTCTTATAGAGTGGTTAGCCTTGATATCTTGTCACCATCTAGTTCTTTGGTCTCCAGGTCATGGAGACTGAGGGTTAATACTCTTTAAATAGTCATGTTTAGTGCATCTTGGAGGTAAGTAAGACATGGCAAGCCTATGCTTAAAGTCCTTCAGCAGATTTCAGTATATTTAGGATAAAACCAAAAAATCTTAAAAATTCCAAAAGCCAGTCCACTTATCCATCCTCATTATAACTATTTCTCTTGTTCTTTGCTATAGCTACATTGTCCCTACCCCACCCTTTAAAAAGTATATATATTATTCAGACTTGTGAAGCTCTTTCTCTCTTTACTTCAGGACCTTGGCTGAAACACTCTCCCCTTCATTTTTTAACCTGATTTCCACTCACCCTTCAAATTCCATTTCTTATATTTTAGAAAGGTTCTCTGAAATTTTTATTTCAAAAATATTTATGTAGTAAGCTGGAAATCAATATTTTGAAGACATCAACAATAATTTCTATACGCATATGCATTTAACATTATTCCATGATATTGCGTATTTCTTTTTTTCTCTATAACACTAGCTGCATTCTCAAAAGGGTTGTTGTTGTTAAGTACTGTAGAGCCAGTTCCAACCAATAGTGACCCTGTATAGGGGTTTGGAGGAGCAGCTGGAGAGTTTGAAGTGCCGACCTTGCGGTTCAAACTGGTCTTGCAGTCCAGCGCATTAACCCACAGCCAGACTGCAAAGCCGTTTGAACTGCAAGGTCGGTGGTTCAAACTCACCAGCTGCTCCTTGGAAACCCTATACAGAGTCGCTATGGGTCGGAATCAACTCGACAGCACTTAACAACAACAACAACCACACCAAAAGTGTGGTTGTTGTTGTTAAGTGTCATCATGAGGGTTCTGACCCATAGCGACCCTGTATACGGTTTCAGAGGAGCGGCTGGTGAGCTTGATCCGTCAATTTTGCAGTTCAAACGACTTAATTGGCTGAGCCTTTGTTTTGCAGAGTACTTACTACTCCATGCCTTCTGTATGCAAATTTGGAGGGAGGCTCTCTAGAGCAGCAGATAACATTTGGTATTACAATCCAAGAGAAAAGTCAAACCCTAGCAGAACAGGGATTTGCGTGAGAGATTAAGGGAAAAATGGAAAACCTTCACTTCCCATAAAAGAAAGCTGAAGAAAGAAAACAAACGTCTAATTGGAATTTGCAACTATTAACTCTGTATGGGCGGTGTGATGTAAACCCTAATCTTTTGGCTTCTCAGGAAATTTTGAGTAAAATCTATGTTGTTCACATAGCATTTGGTGTGGTGGTGGTGGTGTGCCGTGGAGTCGGTTCTGCTCATGTTGTTGTCGTTGTTGGGTGCCATCAGTCCGCACTGACTCATAGCGGCCTTATGCACAGCAGAACAAAACATTGCCCGATCCTGGGCCAATATCACCATTGCTGCCAAACTTGAGCCCACTGATGTCGCCACTTTGCCAATTCCCCTGCACAGGGTTTCCGAGGCTGCAAATCTTTACCGGAGCAGAGAGCCTCATCTTTCTCTCGCGGAACAACTGGTAGTTTCTAACTGCCGACCTTGGGGTTAGCAGTCCAATCATAACCACTACACTACCAGAGCCCCTTTAAGAGAGCAGAAAGCCTCATCTTTCTCCTGTGGAACCGCTGGTAGTTTCGAACTGCTGACCGTGAGATTAGCAGCCTGACTCTAACCACTAATGTAGAACTCTAAATCTAACTAAGAAAGAAGAGGGACAAGGACATAGCACGCTGGGATGATCAAGCAGAGCTGGGAGACTGGAAACAACTGACATCTACGATATCTAAATGCAGTTTAAACATGAAGCTGATAAATATGATTAAAAGAAATACCTTGTAAACTGTCCTAATAAACTTGGGTTCATCGTATTCTGATAAAAGCTATAGGAAGATACAATTTCCGATGCAAGTGATCCTTCTTGTGATGTGAGTATTTTATTTGGCTTTGCTGCACCAATATGATCTGAATGGTAGAGCGGTCGTGGAGTAACATCCACTCCGTTTACATCAATCACCTGTAGAAAATGGTTATTTAAAATAAAATGGAAACAACAGAGTTTCAGAATCAGAGTTCCTATAAAACAGAAATAAATATGGTAGAGAGGATATAAATATATTCCCAGGCTATGAAATATGAAAAGTTGAACTACTAAGACTTTATACTTTTAAAAGTCTACTTATTTCATTTTGGCTTTTTTTTTTTTATGTTTTATTGTGAATTATGTGATAGTTTACATGGGAGAACATTAGTTTTACATTCATCCTATCATATATTGTTTCATTGCCATGGTTACAATCCCTTCCATGCATCATCAACCAAAAAAAGGGTATACCCTAGAAGCCTGCCCCCCAGTCGTCAGCACACAGCCCTTCTCCCTCTATGGGTCTAAAGTCCCCAGCTGCTCCATCTCTCCACTCCACGTCATCCTCTCTGCCTTCATCTCAGGCATCACTGCTTCTCTGGGTAGGGTCCCACTCTCCACTCTTTTCCCTTGATGGTCCCAGGGACCTCAGCTCCTAGACTGCAAAGTTAATCACTCCCTTCCTTGCTACAAAAGTCTACCTTTACATTTACAACCCTCACAATCAGTCCTGATCACAGTTATTCATTATTGTATCACTAGAGACCTATCCCACCTAGACAGATTAGATGCTACTCAGTGGAGATTCTTCCTTCCTCCACGCCCTCTGGATCTAGTTGTAATTTTTTTAAACATTTTTTAAATTTTATCTACATTTTAAAATTTCAGAATTAGAATAAAATTAGATATAAAATGCTCCACTTATTATTTAAAGTCTGTAAGATCGTAGCCATTATTCATTTTGTTTATTTTTCTTTTTTCATAATATCATACGTTTTTAAAGTTTGTTAATCTTTTTCACAGAAATAAAATCTGACTTTTGTAAACTTCTTGAGTGTATGATTTTTAAATTTCATTAATTTCTGTTCTTTCTATAATTTGCCTTTCTTTGAGTCTACTTTGTATTCCTTTGCTAACTTCTTTGTTGTTGTTGAGCGCCATTGACTTGGTTCCAACTCCTAGCGACCCTGTATGGGGTTTCCATAGAGCAACTTGTATGGGGTTTCCATAGAGCGACTTGTGAGTATGAACCCTCAACCTTTTGGTTCAAACCAACCTTGTGGTCCAATGCTTTATCCCACAGAACCACACCATAACTTCCTAACTTCTTTAGATGGCAAAACGTGCAGACAGTAAAATGCATACTTTTTTTCCCTCTAAATATTTTTTTTTATTAATACAGTGATTTGTGTACAAAAATTCCTTGTTAGACCTGTCGAGTCAGTTTCAACACATAGTGACCTCACGCACAATAGAAACATAAAGTTCCTTAGTACCTAATAAATAACTCAGGGTAGAAATGTTCTCATTTGCTCCATATGTCCAGCTACTATATTCCGTAAGAGCTGTATTTGAAACAATGGTTTGGTGGTTAAGTGAAACAACCTTTCTCCATCGTTCTCCCATTTTCTTTGTTCACTAATGGGCAATATAAAACTACTGCATTAAACAGTAACTCATAGGTTGTAACATGCTTTCATCTTTACTTCCTTCCTCACTGTAACTGAATAAATAACTCGATCTAGAGTGTGTCACTGTAAGGCATATTGTTATTGCTGACAACTTGGCTCTGACTCACGGCGACCTTACATGTAATAGAATAAAATGTTGCCTGGTCATCATGCCCTTTCTCATGTTTGAACCCATTGCTGTGGCTATTGTGCCAATTTATGTCATTTTGTGTTTCCCTTTTTTTGTATAACCAACCCTGATGTCCTTTTTCAACAACTGATTTGTCCTTATGATATGTCTAAAGTAAACAAGACAAAGTTTTGCTTTTAAGACTGATCTAATCTTTTTTTTTTTTTTTCATGGCGCTGTGGGTTAATACGCCGGACTGCAAAGTCATTTGAACTGCAAGGTAGGTGATTCAAGTTCACCAGTCGCTCCTTGGAAACCCTATACAGGGTCGCTATGGGTCATAACTGACTTGACAGTATTTAAGAACAACAATGGTATATTTAATATTCTTCACTAACACTACAATTCAAATGCATCAATTCTTCTATTTTAATTGTCCAACATCCTCATGAATTATTGTTGTTAAGTGTCACTGAGTTGGTTCTGACTTTTAGCGACCCCATAAAGGGTTTCTGAGGAGCATTTAGTGGGTTTGAACTGCCAACCTTGTGGTTCACAGTCCTGGTCCTGTGTTGATCCTTGGTGCCACACCAGAAGTCATGAACCTTAGTTACTAAAATGACATTTTTGCACAGAGCATATCTCCACCAAACACCAAACCCACTGCCATTGAGTTGATTCTGACTCATAGCAACTCCATATACTATTTCAGAGACTGCAAATCCTTATGGCAGCAGGTAGCACAATTTTTCTCCTAGGCAGTGGCTGGTGGATTTGAACTACTTATCTTTCAGTTAGCAGTCCAATGCTTATCCCACAGCACCATCTCTTTCACTCACTGCCACTGAGTCTATTTAGACTCATAGTGATCCCGTGCAGGGTTTCTGAGGCTGTAAATCTTTATGGGAGTAAAAAGCCCCATCTTTCTCCCATTGAGTGGCTTGGGTTTGAACTCCTGATCTTGTAGTTAGCAGTCCAGTATTTATACTACAGCTCCCCCAAGGCTCCCTCCACAGCATCATATAGGTGTTTACATTCTTTCATTCTTTTGCCTGTTCCCTCATATGGTAATATTATTCCATGGTCTGAATTTCAGATTCAGAGGAAGTAGCCATTTCACTTAAGCCTTAAACTGAAAACATACGCTCCAAATCTATATTCCCCAAATTTTTCTCTAAGCAACACTGAACCTGGATCCAACTGATGGTATTTCGTTTCTACTTCATTGTGTCCATTCTTCTGCAATAACCTCACAAAGGAGATTCCTGGGTATTGAGATATAATTTTATTTTAGGTATAACCAAACTATAACAATTGTTGTTGTTAAGGGTTGTGGAGTTGGTTCTGACTCACAGTGACCCTGTATAGAGTTTCTAAGAATCACCTGGTGGATTTGAACCTCTGATTTTGTGTCTCACAGGCCAGTGTTTCTCCTACGCCATACCAGGAGCCCAACTATAACAATACCACCCACAATTTCAAATATAAATAATATACAAATACAAAATAGGAATTATTAATGCAACATAAATATCCCAATCAAAGATCTAAATGTTATTTATTACATACCCAAAACCACCTCAGACCCAGGCCAGTTTGATCACTTATATAACTACAATGTGGGACTCCCTGGCATCTTGATGAATGTGTTATTTGAGAATTAGTTATATAACTCATTTAAAAATATATTTTACTGTGTTTAGTGAAGATTTACGTAGCAAATTGGGTTCTCATTTATCAATTTCATTACATATTATTGTGTGGTGCTGCAGAATAAGCACTAGACTGCTAACCTCAAGGTCAGCAGTTCAAACCCACCAGCTGCTCCTCAGAAACCCTATACAGGGTTACTATGAGTTGGAACCAACTCCATGGCACTAACCCACAAGAAATAACAACAATGCATATTATTCAGTGGCATTGGTTACACTTTCAAATGGGTGAGCATTCTCTCTATTTCCAGTCTGATTATTCTGTTTTCCATTAATCTAGCTTCCTGAGTTCACCTTACATTTTCAGTTTTGCTCTACAGTGAATGTTGGCCATTAGATTTCAATTGGATGACTGATTAGAGAAGCACAGTACTTATGTGTAATATTACTTATTTTATGAGTATAACTCATTTTTGATATACCCTTTTTTAGAAATTATGGTTAAAATCATTAGAACTTTCAAACCAATCAGAGTGGAAGTTTGAAGTTTAGATGTTTGTCTTCGGAGGCAACTGTGTGTGTGTGTATATTTATATATATATTATATGTTGTTGTTGTTAAGTGCCGTCGAGTATATATATATATATA